TCACTACAGCAAGCTGCAGGGTGGTGGGGGCGAACCTCAGGCACGCGTGCCACAGCTGGCTGTTCGTTATCACTGAAAACCCTAAAGGGTTCCCCACCACTGCTCTAGGCCACTTTGACTCATGTGTTTATAACGGAGAAATCAGACCACACAGAGGACACCGTGACAAATAAAGGCAGAGCTCAAGGCAATACTTTCTCAAGCCAAGAAGCGCCAAGTCTGGCCAGGATCCCATCAGGGACAAGGAACAGGCACTTCCTCTGGCCTCAGAAGAGACCAAGCCTACTCAGACCTTGATCTCAGACTTTTAGCTACAAGACAATTCTGAATTTCTAAAGCCATCCAGTCTGTAGTAGGGAAGTAATACAGTCACCATGGTGGAAAGAAGACCTAAAGATACCTCAGCTGTCCATTAAACCTTGCTAATATCCTTGAAATTTAGGGGATCATAATCCACTAAAAAATACAACCCAGTGGATTTCATGTAAAAATGTTTATGAAATTGATGATTCATCTTAAGAAGTTAGTATCAGGAAAGAAAAGATCACCCTTCCTGGGGATTTGGCACCTTCCGTTGTTTTGTAGATAATCATAACTGTGCTCACCAAGTGTTGTTTTTTACTGTTTATTTCTTTCGGTACCAGGGACCAAACTCACAACCTTGAGCTTTCGAGGCAGGTGGCGGAATTGCTGAGCCAAATCCGCAGCGCTACTCGTGTTGTCCTCACCAGCAGCACACCAGTGTGGGGCTGTGGGTGTCTCGGTTTCCCGGATCACTAGCTATCATCTTCACTTACTGGCCTTTATTCCTCACCCTTGTTTTGATAATATTTATATTCTTTATCATGACAGCTCTCTTTGGGGCAGTGCTTAAGATATAATTAATAGATAAATGAACACTTCTGACCCCCACAGTAAAGCCCTATGTCAGTGCTTTTATGAATTTGGCTCTGCTGCCATAGTGACCAGCTGTCTCTCTGGGATAACAATAAGAGGTTTCCAAAGAACAGGGACTTTTATTGTCCGATTCATGATAGGCCTGTAACCAACAACTTTATTCCCACTATTAGTGCTTTGATTCCTGTTTGAAATGGGACTGCCCCTGAAAAACTCATGCATAATTGTTTGCCAATTTGTTGCATTTTCTATGAGAAGCAATTATTGCTTCAAGAGATTAAGAGTGACAATGCAAACACCACACTTTTTAGTCCCATAAAACTCTCTTAGCCATTCCCTCTTTGGAGCTTCATCTCCAGTCAGTTTCCTGTGAGAAACAGAGGCCTACTGAAACCTACTGAGGCCTAGAGCTGTAGGGCGCTGGGGATATAGCTCAGTGGCACCGTGCCTGCCTAGCAAGCAAAGATTCTGGGTTCGATCCCCAGTACACACACACAAAACAAGAGTAAAGGTAGAATCGCTAGCTGTTAGGAAGCCAGACCACGTTGATCCTGGCTGTCATCACAATTTAGTTTAGTTTGTTTGTTTGTTTGCCCTTTGGATCCTTTGCACATTCCTCATACGCATTAGTGATTCATCCAGCTTTTGGTAACCAAACATTAAATGATTAGGATTGTGAGAGATAAATAGAAAATGTATTCCATTCTTGTACCTGTGTCATAAACTACCAATGGACCTGGTTCTTCTGCTGGCATAGGATAACATACAGAGTGATCCTTCTCCTTTTCCTCAACTACTGAAGAGTCATCTGAATTCATTAGGATTCACAAAATAGTCTGTGTTCAGAAATGGGCATAGCTTTTCAACATTACAATAAAAATCCAAATTTCACTCAAAATTAAATGTTTTCCTAGGTATTAGTCAGATTTTCCATTGCTGGACATGAGACACAGCGCTCATAATTTAAAAGAGGAAAAATTCAATTTATCCCAAGATTTCAGGGATTGAGTGCCTGGCCAGCGGGCTCCAGTGCAGAAGCACCATGGAAGGGTGTGACAGAGTGGAGCTGCTTAGAGCCTGGCAGCTGGGAAGCAGGAAGGATTATATACGGTACCCAAGTCACACGTCCGTGACCTCCTAGACACACCTGCCACAGCCTCCTATGGGAAAGAGTTGTCTACACAGGATTTTACTACTTCTGTCTTTAGTAGCCACTTCCTCCTAAGTCACAATTATCAACTGAGGTTTGAAACTTTTCCGTGCGTGCAATATGAAAAAGGGAGAAGTGATAAGGAGGTAGGAAAACTATACAGGTGCTAACAGACGCTGGCAGGTCGTGAAACCGACACTCTCACAGCACTTCTTTAGGGTTAACTGTGCTTCATACCCACCTCACGGGAAAGTATGTGGCTTCGTTGGTGCACCTTGTGTACTGGCTGTATCACGTTTCCTTCCTCAGATCCTGGGAGCGTGTGGCCGTAGATCCCATCCTTGTCCCCTACCCACTGGCCACCTGGGAAACCACTGAGGAAAACCCTGTCTTAGCTCACTCAGCATGGCCCTCATCTGCTCCCAAAGATTACCATCCTAGAGCTATGATATGTAGCTATGCAGTTGCCTTCTAAAGACTGTCTACTTTTTTATGGCCACTTAGTGGGTAGTTCTAACCGTAAGCCTTATTTTGAGACTTATCAGGTCTGAATCAGAAAGTAGTTGCTGTGTCTCCTCAGTTCCAAGGCATACTTGCAGCCCTTCTCAGTAGGCTCGGGAAGAACAGAAATCTTCCCCTCTCGCAGGCACCACAACAAAGGTGATGACCTAGCACAGCATCCTCCTGGGGACTCATCCTTGCTATCTCCAAATTCCCTCTGGAGTTGAGTTGGCAACTCAACTCTACCCTCTCCTATTCTCAGTAGGAGTGACTCAGGTCACAAAACATGACTTTAGACATGTTCTGTACAGGCCCTGTGCAGTCCATCTGGCATCTCACACTGCATAGTAGTTAGGTCGCAACTCTAGTGTGGCCACAGCTGTCCTTGAGACTGACAGCTCCAGTTCTCGCCACTGAGCCTCCCTCAGAATTGATCTTCCCTCAAGACTTGCTGAGTAATAGAAAATGTCTTGCACGTTCCCTTCCCAAGCTCTCTTCCTGGAAGACTAGACTGGTTCATATGCTCCTGAGAGCTTCCTGTTGGTACCTGTGATCATGAATGCTCTGATCACAGAAACTCAGCTTTAATTCTGCTTAGAGTTGTGCTTCACCACTATGACGAAAGTCATCCCAAGAGCAGTTGACTTCACAACTCCAGCCTGCAAAATGTGCTGCTTCTTAAGAAACATCATGACCACACTCACTGTAGAAGTTGGCAACACTGAATGGATATTGATTTCCTAAAATAAAGTCCACCCTCTGTGTCCACAAATTCTGTATCCGTATCCAACCAAGTGCCGCTCTACATGAGGGACATGAGCCCCCTTGGATTTGATGCACAGGGGTTGAAAGTCTTGGACCAATTCCTTGTAGATGAAAAGGGATGACAGCGATAGGAAAGGGAAAACTGATTAATATTATGTTTTACTACTTAGAAACTTAAATTTTTCTTATCAGTCAAGCTTATTGTTCTTTTTGTTAGTCCCTGTTTGCTGTATTCAGTGTTTGCACTCCTTGCACTGAATTGGTCCAGGTACTAACACACTTCCACTCCCTTTTCATCCGCTTCCCCTCCCTCCCCTCCTTCCATCTTTTGAGCTCTTTCCCGTTTGAGAAAGAGCTATCTCCCTATTTCCTACTAGCTATCTTTTATTTTGCTTTTTATTTATGACTTGGCTTTTCTCATATAAGAAGTGGTATTTAAGCTTGTGCGTCTGATTATTTCACTTAACATTGTGGTCTCAAAGTGCATCTGCTTTTCTACAAATCATTCAAATTTATCTTTCTTTACGGCAACCTACTATTCCATTTTGTGTAAATGCCACATTTTAGCAACTCATCTGTTGATGGGCATGCAGGCTGCTTCCAAGAGCTGCTGTTTTGAATGGTGCTGCTATAAACACGGGTGTGCACACATCACTGTAACGTGATGTTGGTAACTCTTTTGAGAAGATACAGAGAAGGCGGATAGCTAGGTCTAACGGAATTTCTAGTTTTAGATTTTTCAGAAATCTCCATAATGATCTCTGTAGTGGTTGTACCAGTTTACATCCCTACCAATAATGTAAAAAGGCTCCTTTTTACCCACATCTTTGCCATCATTTATTATTTGATTCTTGATGATGGCCATTCTTTCCGAGGTAGATGGAATCTCAGTGCTGTTTTAATTTACGTTTCTTTAGTGGCCAGCTGTGTGGAGTCTTTCTTCATGTATTTATTGGCCATTTGTACTTCTGTGAAGTGCATGCTCCTTTCATTTGGCCATTTTTAACTGGGTCTTTTATTTTGGGGGATCTTATATTTTTTTACATTCATTATATATTCTATATATTAGTCTTCTGTCGGAGGAACAGCTGGCAAAAAAATTCCCATTAGGTAGGTTTTCTTTTCTTGGTGTTGATTGTTTCTTTGGTGGTGCAGAGACTTTTTAATTCGATATTATCTCATTTGTTAGCATCCTTCACAGAAATGGAGAAAACAAACCTAAAATTCATGTGGAATCAGAAAGTACATACAGTATTATAAGTCCTCGCATTACCTGCAACATTAATTGTGGCTATAATGAAATTCACATTTGAGATTAAAATGTACGATGAATATTCTGTGGAGGAGAAAACTACAGGAGTAAATAATAGCAAGAATTTCACCTCATGTTGGAGATGAAATCATTCCTTTTGTAATATCCACAAATCCTAGAATGTAAGGACCTTTCAATGTTAATGTAAACCATGGGTGTTTTTTCTAATAAAATAATTTCATCTGTGTGGTCAGGCAAACCTTCAAAGGTGTAACCTGTAGACATGTGATTACTTTAGATGCTCCTTGGCTGCCTGTAAAATATAATGCGGGAAGGGGGAATCCCACGCTCTTAAAGAGGAATCTCGCGGCACGTTAGTTCCAAATAAGCTAGGATTTCCAGTCCTTCTCATCCTCATCAGCTGCCTTCTTGCAGGAAACAGACCTTCTGCTGACCTTTAACATTTCGATGCATCGCTCCTGGTGGATGGAAAACGGACCGGGGTGCACGGTGACGTCGGTGACCCCCGCCCCCGACTGGGCCCCGGAAGACCACCGCTACATCACGGTCTCGGGGTGCCTTCTGGAGTACCAGTACGTGGAAGTGGCCCACAGCACCCTGCAGATCGCCCTCGCAGTGAGTGTCCGCAGCAGCCACTCCTCCTCCCAGCCCACTCGGTTTGTTTCTGGGTAAACTTAATGCACATAAATGGAATCTGAGGGGAAACTTTGGGCGTTTTGCTTTTTCCTAATTGATGTCACTTGGAATAGGGATTTATCATGCTAAACCGAACCAGCCTCTGGACCAGGTGCGCTGTCTTCAGCCTTTGATGAGATCAGCGTTTTTCGTTGGTGATCAAGATATCATTGATCAGCCGAGATATGATTATTGGCTTTTGGGGAGACTTTGCAAAGGCTCCAGAGGGCAGAGGTGGGGGTTAGAAGGTAACATTCTACAGGCCTAGTGTAAGATTGTGCTGGGTATCTTCTCCTCCCGCGGGGTTTCCTTGGCCGAGCTGCCAGCGTGAAGATTTCTCTTCTCGGTTGCACTCTTGCGTTCTGTCTTCTCAGATTTCCCCCAGGAGTTTCCATCACATTTTATCAGCTCTCCTCCCTTCTCAGAACAATTCGGCTTTTCTGTTGATCTTATTTTTCACCTTTCATGCCCTGTGCTTCATCATCGTGTCCCAATAAAGAGCCAAATACAAATCCACACCAAATACAAATAAATTCAAAACAAATACAAACAACAAATTCAGATAACATCTTCTTGTTATATAATATAAATCATTTTAGATTGTATTACTGGGATAAAGATATAAATAAAAACATTCCTTTCTCAAGAGGAACTTTTATTGACTATTATATTGTGAAATTTATATACTGAGGCAACGTTGTTATACTGTTCATGAATCCATTTATTCATTCCAGATATAGAATTATATATATTTTTCTTGGGTTCCACATAGATCTACAGTGAATGTGCCTAGTCTTAAAATTGTCAGCAACTAGTAATGCAAGTAGAATTCAGCTTTCACCTCTTTCTTCAATTCACCCCTTTGGGAGTGACCTTGACTTACAATGGAATAATAAGAAAGGAGAAGGTTCTGGATTACATGGCACCAATTAGTTTACATAAAATTCTTCTAGTATAAAAATAAATGTGTATCACAACACATATGTGTTGTAAGTATGCTGTGCTAACAAATACTTCCTAAATTTCTGTCACTAGAGTCACGAATGTTTGTTCTGTGTGCCATCAGGAGGCTCTGCTAACACTGTCACTGAGGGAACTGAGTGGCACAGCCACCCAGCCAGTCAACTTGTGTCCCCAGGCCACAGATGGCAGTGGAGAGTCCGCACGGGCACAGGTGCTCTGGGTGGAGAAAAAGCTCAGGGCCCCTGTTTATCATCCTCCACCTGCCACGCAGTCCCACCAATCACTAAATGGCCAGGGAGGGAGGAGAACTACAAATATCTGGAAATTCACTTAAATAGTTTTCATAGCATTGCATTATGTTCTGGCTACAGCACTGAGCAATCTCCTTGAAATATGCTGTATCTGAGTTACCTTTTCAAAGAAACAAAAATCCTGTGTAATAGTTTCAAACTCCAGAAATATTCAATTTACTCATCTGAAATAAAGATGTTAGGTTTGACAACATGGAAGTAGCCATATTGTTCTTTGAAATCTATTTAAAAGAATATTCCTTCTCATATGGAAAAAGTGAAATATTTCTGGAATTTAAAGACAGATAAAATGTCTTGATATATATGTTACAAAGAAATCTTTATGAGAAAAATTATTTTCTTTGGAAGCCTTTTATTTAAATAATACATTGTGGCAAACTTTCACCTATATTTCAAGGATAATATGAAGATACAGTTCATGTGTATGGCTACTTATATATGTTCTTAGAAAATTACTGGAATCCATGTGTGTGTACCTATACTCACAAATTTATTAATCCCTACATAAAATTTTGGCACACAGGGAATTTCCGAAGAAATGAATTCAGACATGAAGCATATGTCATACCACCCTAAGAAAAAACGTTTCTGCATAGGTTAAAAAAAAAACTGTAAAGGCAAACTGGCTAGAGTACAAATAAGATGGCTAGATTGCCCCAGAACAGATGTAACCAAAAACTCAAATTACTAGTTCTCCCGCCTCTTGTCTACATGGACTCCAATATAGTGAAGAAATAGTTTGAGCAAACAGTCACAGGATGCAGCATTTTCAATTCTTCCTTTTCACATGTTCTTCCTTCTTTGGGTGTTCTATTCCAATTCGGACAATGGAACACCTGAGGATAAGTTTCAAACTTCAGCACACTGATTATCTTTGGACTACTGTTGTGTACCTGGCATTGGGCTGAAAGTGCCTGTGTACAGCAAAGCTTAGGAAATCTTCACTGCAGTTTTCCACTGCGAACCCAAAAGAGTGCATGCTGAACAATTTGCTCTGTGTAGTTACTGGAAGCCTTCCAAAGATGTTGTCCTGTAGCCATTCTGATCAACTGTGCTGTGATGGTTTGTTAAAAAATGGTGTCTTCGATCTCTGCCCCTCCCCTTTTGATACCCAGATCTTCTATCTCCCTGGCAATAAAACATTCCATTCCATCAAGCCCAGTGAATGCTCCCTGAGTGCCTGTGCCCTGTGGCATCTAGAGAAACAGCGGTGTCTCCAACTTTTTATTTGTCACGGTCAAAACTGAAGAAAGATTTCCGAGGGTGCAAGCCCGGTAGAAAAGCATACATTTTTCAGGACTGGTCAAGAACTGATATGGCTTGTGCATTTGGGGTATAAACGTTGCTTCCTGGTTTCATTCTACTTTTTGTAAAATCAACTAAACTCTCACTCTTATTGTGCCTCTTGGAGCCCTTGAAGCTGCCCTCCCTTCCAGTAAATCTGGCTTACACCAGCTTTCATCAACTGCTGCTTTCTCAGCTATTGCTCTTGATTAGCTCTAAATCTCCGCAGCTCCTTTTCCCATTTTCCCTGCACTCTTCTTTCACAGATTCCTCACCCCCAGGATGCCTGTCACCCCAGTGTGCTATCTTCTGCCAATCAGCGCCTGGTTGTTTTTGAAATTAGCTCTCACAAAGCCCACATTTGCACGGCATATACATAGATAGCTCGCATCTACCTCCAAAGGAAGACAAGTATAATATCTGTATAATTGGGAAGAGCTGCTATTAATCACAGAGCCTCCAGCCAAGCAGAAAGCTCTGCCAGACCCCATAACGATGAGCCAGGTGTAAGGTTTCCAGCTTTCTCCTCCAGCAACAGCTTTTCCCTCTAGTTTGTAGCAGATCACGCATGAGAAGTACATACAGGTGTGCACTATTTTAATTAAAACCAAAAATGAGGAAACCGCATTTGCAAAATAGATTAAATGTGCGTGGAAAGAGAGATCAACTAGGGAGATGATGTTCCCATTACAAAAGAATTAATCAAAGTTGCCAAGCAATGTGTCCTTGGGAGTGCACAGATTAGAAAACATGTTCATGTGAGCACAGTCTTTCAACCAAGCAATTGTTGGGTGAAGGCAGCAGAACAGGCTACAAGCCCTTCCTAGCATATACAGCTAGGGGCCACGGTCCTGCCTTCGCACCAAAGATGGGGAAGGGGCTGCAGCCTGAATTCTGGACCAGCTGATGGGTCATGGATTCCTGAGGTCTAAAGAGCCAGAGTTCCCAGTGGGAAAGGACACTGATTGACTAGCGTGGCTGGCCATCAGGCGAGGAGGTACGTACCTGCCTTGCTTCACTTGCTGCACTTCCCATCACTAACACAACAAAGACTAAGTATGTTTTACAAATAAATATTTATCAGTGATGCTGAGAAAATAGTTATAGCAATAAGCGAAGTGATGATGTTTTTTTGAAATATATGTTAAGATTCCAAATCATGCACTGGAAAACAAAACCCTTAATCTCGCTCTTCTCTGGCCACATCCAGAGAATCAATATCTCTAAATTTAATATAAACCTCTCCAACCAAATAGCTCATTTTTGTTTTCATTTGTTTCCTCTACTTGATTTCCTTTACTTCCGATACGCTTCTAAACTCATGGCAGGTTGACTATTAATTGTTTTTGTAGGAACTAGCAGAGGATATCAGTAAAAATGTAAATAAGCTTCCCATTTCCATTAGATAAATAAGCCATTAGAGGTGGCTTGGAAACCATGCACAAATGAGCAAGAAAGTATGGAAGAATTTAGAAAAAGTTCTGATACCCAGGGTGCTTAATAGCTAAAAATAAGTTAGCTATCAATGTATCCTTCTGTTATATTTCTCTGTTCAAAACACTTTGTACTTTGTAGAGCACATGGAATCATTGTTCAACAGATTGTGTTTTTTTTTTAATGCAGTGAATAAAGCGTATGCCTTCAGATTGAGGAAGTTACAGGCATTCCAGTTATTCCAGTTATTAACTTATATTTGTCAGTATCTTGGAATATCATGGTATGACTTGCCTGCAGATGCCCGGAGTGGAGAGTTTCCCAGTTTGGAAGCCCTGATCCCAGCTGACTTGGGAGTGGGGTGGGCGTGGCACGTAGGTATTTCTTCAGACACGCTGCTATGTGAGGCGCATGTGTGGGAGGGTCTTGGGTATGTTTCTCTTCCGGGATTCCTATCTGGAAATACTTGTCCACAATGATTTCCTAGTTAAATATCTGGATCCTAATTTTCATCTCACCGAGGACATTGCAATGTAATATGTAAATATCACACCCAAGCTAGAGCTCCTGTCCTTTCAGGATGAGTGGGAGTGCTAGGAGCCGAAGCTCAACCCCGGCTGTGTTCCCAAGGAATATGGTTGCCATGGGGACAGCCTGTGTTGCACTTACTTGAGTCGAAAAATTAAGACAGATCTCTATTAAGAAAAAAATAAGGTTCACTTGGTTGATTTGTTTCCTAGTGAAAAATGAGTTAGCCATTTAAATTATAAGTTACAGATTTTCCCTTTTTTCATAAGCTTAGCTAGATCCATAGCTCATACTTTGACAACAGACTCAAAGCACACCATTTTTTAAAAATTAACAAAAATATTGTTTTCAAAGACATACATTGAAAATCAATAATAGTTCTCAAAGTTTCTTTTTAATATACTGTCTGCCCTTAAGAGAGTTCAGTGTATAATTAATAGTTGTTTATTTTGTCTTGGTTGTTTTTTTTTTTTACATACTTCCCAGGAATTGTCACTGCGAAGTGAGTGATTTCTAATTTTTTGCTTTTATTAAAATTGAGGGAATACCTTATAGATTTGTCTGTTGGTAGTTAAGTAATTTAAATCCTTTTGAGATAGATACTTATGTACATTGTGATGTACAACTGACAATAACTTGCAGAATTTATAGTAAGTGGCATCATTATAACAATGCAGCCACATCTCTATTTAAGAATGTCTTTCAGTGATTCTACTTTTAAAAATACTAAAAATTGAATTCCACTGAACTTTTTCTTTCTAGTACTAATAAAAATTTCAAATAAAATTTTATTTTTGTTAATAATTTTGATCAATGCATATAATAGCATGTATTACTGGATTAATAGTGTAAAATAGTAATTATGATTATAATTCAAATAAGAATATATTTTTCCACATCTTTTTTTATTCAGTGCATTTTGGTTATATGGATTTATGGGTTTCATTTTGGCAGATTCATAAATGCATATGACATACTTTGAGAGCATTTTTATAACTCAATGCCTATGGGCAGGGGAAAGAAAAATCAAATCTAAATGTAGACATATTAAATGTAGTATATGTTTGCATATTTACGCATATTCATACACAATTGTTGTAAAGTGGTATGAAAGAATAAGTAACCCAACTTTCAGGAAAATAAGAATATTTTATTAGGACAAAATTCTGTGACAGCATTAGAATGCAAATAGATTCAGAAGAAAAAGAACCACATAAAAAAGTTGTATTTGAACAAGAATGGGTATATATGCTTTTAAATAAGTGACTTTTAAACCATACTGATATTCACATTTCATTGAATATATTCCAAAAACAAACATAATAGACCTCTTTCAGATGTATTAACATTTAAAATGTACCAAAATCAATAGTTTATTTGGGGGGATTGTGGAGGTCTCACAAAGTTGCTGACTGCCCAGCCTGGGATGGATCTTATGATGCTCCTGCCTCAGCCCCAGAATGCTGGGACTACCCAGCTCTAATCACTCTTTTATCACTATTTAATTGATCCTCTGCTACCTAACGTGACATATAGATTAAACAAAGGCCTTGTCAAAATAGCAATGGCATTTTCATAAAAATAGAAAAAAAATCCTAAAAGTCTTATGAAACCACAAAATAACCTACATAACAAAAACAACTTTAAGAAATAAAGTGAAACGCATTGTTCTTCCTTATTTTAAAATACATTACAAAGCTATGGTAAATAAAGCAGTATAGTACTGACATAAAAACACATACCAAATAGTGGAACAGATGGAGGCCAGGAACAGATCCACGGGTTTGCAGTCAACTGACCCTCCACAGGGTTGTCCTTTAAACCACTAATGAAAGCTCTCTAGTGTGCAGCTTCAGGTGAATTTATTTGTTTAATTGTTTCCAGAATATATAAAAGCAGGAATGGGCTCTGTTCCCTAGGGTAGTGTTTCTTAGAGCTGAGAAGAGCAATAATTCCTGCTCAGTCATTTAATGCAGAATCATCACAGGGCCCACTCCTGGAACTTCTGTCCTTGGGCTTGAGGTGATGGGTGAGATGGGTGCGTTTTCAAAATTTTCACCAAAAATGTTGCAGCTTTCCTTTTGATTCACTCTCAGATTTGCTACTGGTGTCTCTAAAGTCCTGAATCGCTCAGCAACACACAGGGTCTGGTTAGGAAGGTGACGCCAGTACCGAAGTGGTGTCAGAGCTCCAGTTGTCCTATCAGTTCTTTTCTCTGCCTGAAGAGTTGTTTATTTCACTTCTCAGGCGGCCGGGCAAAGCCGCCCACAGAACTGACACGCTATCAGCCTGCGCTGTGTGTGTTGGGTGTACACTGAGCAGGCGGTTGATCTGGGACTGTAAACTGAGTCTCCTGATTCTCAACCTGCTGTCAGAGACGACACACAACAGTTTTCTCCGTAGGACAGAACCACTTGCTGCCTTCAGTGGAAGATGGCTAGAGCGGAAAGCGTTCTTCCTTCCCAGCACCCTGGATGTTCAGCAGCTTCTATGCTAGGCTCCGTGGCTTGTCTCCTCCAACTCTGAGCATCCTGGGCCGTCACATGCACAGAGCATCTTGTCAGAAGTTCATAACCCAAGAAACAAGATACCTATGCTGTGTAGCATTCTGTAGCATTAGGAGAGTTTGTACACATTCAAGAAACATAGGAAGAAGAACCGAGTATCCATGTGAACGGGGAGTTTTCCCAAGGTGGCTGAAATAGGACAATGGGAAACAAAATCCAGAAAGGACATGTCTTAGCCCAGCTGAGAGTCACAAGACACTTTGAGTAGGCAGAGCGCAACAAAATAATTTGCAAATCCCAAATGAATCTGTCCTTTAATAGTGAGAAATACTATTGCTAGTAGTAAGAAACAACCTGTGTCACTTCTAAAATGAGCAGTTTAATGTTCTGATCTCTCCTCTAGTCTTAATTTTTCCTCCAGACAATAATAAATTTCTTTGGTATCACTCCCTTAGCTCAAAATACCCTGACAACTTACCTACAGATGCCAATTAAGTTTTGGGTAAAATAACCACTAATCCATTAGTTGTTGAGTATTTTATTTTATTTTATTTTGCTTTTGTACTGTCATGTGCCTTTGTAAATTGGTGAGTAGTTCTGTAAACACGAGAACAAGCCAAAGACAAGAATTGGAACAGTCTCTGGCTTGAAATTAAAATTAAGGTTTTTTGTTTTTTGCTTTAATATTCTCTGTACTCCCGACATGCAAATTCAGAAATAGAAGGTAAAATATTCACAGTCTGAGAGTAACAATGCTTAAATCTTATACCCAGTTGTGTAATGAACTACTTTGTACTTAGGAACTAAATGAGATCACGTTAAAGGGATCACCTTGGAAATCAGTAAAGGTAGTATTATTTCTTTTCTCCGCAACTTAATTCCTTCCAACGTTCACTGAGAATGCCATAATCTTTTCAAGCTAAATCACAATGATGTGCAAAATTGAGCTAGATCCTACACAGTTCACTTACTCCCCAGATGGAGCTGGGATTAAAGTCCCGACCATACCACGTAGTGCACTGTGCCTGGTTCCCCACTGCTGTCCGTACGCAGTATCTTCTTCGGTGTGGGATGCTTGAGGAACTTGCACACCCCCGTGTGTCTCACTCTCTGGGAATGTTCGAGAACATTGCAGAACAAAAGATGAAACCTTTAAGATGATAGAAATTACTCCCCAGATGGAGCTGGGATTAAAGTCCCGACCATACCACGTAGTGCACTGTGCCTGGTTCCCCACTGCTGTCCGTACGCAGTATCTTCTTCGGTGTGGGATGCTTGAGGAACTTGCACACCCCCGTGTGTCTCACTCTCTGGGAATGTTCGAGAACATTGCAGAACAAAAGATGAAACCTTTAAGATGATAGAAAACATTATATGCTGCAACAATTTCCAATAATTGTGTCTTTTAATGCTAT